TCCTTGTAGACGTATATTATCCTATCACAGACAGCATTGTACTTCAAGACAGATCTTAAAATGCTCTTTTTGACAACGACTATGATGCCCTTCCTCTTCAATTAGTCGTTCCCTGTACAGGAAACTATATGATTGTCCAATTCAAATGTATAATACGAGTTCATTTCAGTTCACTAATGCCTAAGATATCAATCTTTGTCATTTCATTTTTCCCAACTTCCAATATTTCTAGAATCATACTTCCTACAATCCATGTTCTAATTAATGGACGTTTGAAGCTATTTTTTCTCATTTTGAGTTATGATCCATTAGCAAATGAAGGTCCTGAAATCTTTACTCCATGCACACATCATAAAAGTCAACTTTCATTTGAAAATGCAGCTCTTCTGAGTCATCTTTTGAGTAAATTCCAATCAGAGGAGCTCACCTTTCAGCACTATATCAGACAATGTTCTGCTGCTGTTCATAAGATTTTCAATTGCTAACCATTCAGCATAGATCTGCCTCTCCTTCTTCCTAGTCTGTCTTAGTTTGGCAGCTCTGCTTTGAAAGGGATCACAATATAAGTTCCTGTAAAAGGGTGGGAGTGTGGGACAAAACTCAAAATCATTAAAAAACAAAAGAGTCATGCTTGCTTCAGCAGCACATATATAAATTAAAAAAACAAAAAATAGAATGAAATAGCTAAGACTAGCATTATCCTGCAGAAGAATGACATGCAAATTCATGAAGTGTTCAATATTATTTAGACACACCGATCAATGGAACAGAATTGAGAATTCTTTGGCAAATTCTTCCACCAAATGCCAGCTGATCTTTAACAAAGGCCTGAAACATTAAATAGGGGGAAAGATAGTCTCTTTTGCAAATGGTGCTGGCAAAACTGGAAACTCATTTGCAGAAGAATGAAACAACACCCATATTGCATACCATATACAAAAATGAACTCCAGACAAATCAAAGACCTAAATGTAAAACCTAGAACTACAAAGGTCATCAGTGAAAAATTAGGGACAAAGTTTGGGGTTCTGATGTATGGCATAAACACACTATTAAACATAACAGAAAGCACACTAGGAGCAGAAGACTGGAACCTTCATAAACTGCTGGTGAAACTGTAAAATGGTACAACCACAGTGGGAAATAGTATGGTGCTTCCTTAAAAAGTTGGAACTAGAAATGCCATAAAACCCAGCTATCTCTCTACTTGGTATACACTCCAGAAAAATAAGAGCCATAACCAACTACATGTATGCACACCCACATTCATCAAATCACTATTCACGACAGCAAAAAAGAGAGACCCCATAAGTGGAAAAATGGATAAATAAACTTTGGTACATATACACAATGGGATACTATACAACACTGAAGAATAATGATGAATCTGTAAAACACCTCATAACATGCACAAACCTAGAGGACATTATGCTGAGTGAAATTAGCCAATCACAAAAGGAAAAATATTATATGAAGCCACTATTATTAAAAAATCAAGAAAATATTTCAAACTAAAATAAACATTCCTTGATGGTTTCCAGGGGTGAGAGGGAAGGAAGAGTAATTCATTCACTGGCTAGAGAGTAGACAAGTGTTAACTTGGGTGACAGAGAAGACAATATAGAACAAGGGGAAGTTGGCAAAATAATGATGAAGGCAAGGGAAGACATGGGGAAGGATTCCAAGAGTTAAAGGGAACAGTATAAATAGTGTTTTATATACAATCTGGCAATAACAGTGACGTATGAGTAGATGCATGGGTAGATACACAGGCTGAGTAAGGCGTGGAAGGGAGGGTAGGAATATACCTACAGATATTTAAAGGTTGTTGTTGCTAGATGCCATCAAGTCAGCTCCAACTCATAGTGACCCTGAAAACAACAGAATGAAACACTGCCCAGTCCTGAGCTATCCTGACAATTGCATCTTCTTATTGTTGTTAAGTGCTGCTGAGTTAGTTCTGACTCATAGTGACCCTGTATAGGGTTTCTGAGGAGCATCTGGTGAGTTTGAACTGCCAGCCTTGTGGTCTATAGTCCAGTTACAATTGCTAAACAGGATATTTTTACATGGGTATTTACCTTTGTTGCAAACACATCCACAAATGTGATGGAGCATATGGGGGGGGGAGGGTGTGGGAATTATGAAAACTTCTTAGACATTGCCAAATACTTTGAAGGAATGATATGCTGGTCTTTGGGTTTCAGAACCATGGGGAGTATCATGGTTAACCGGCAAAATGTGTTATAGCCTGCTTTGGTAAGTAGCGACTGGGGTCTTAAATGCTCGTAAACAACCAACTAAGGTGCAACTATTGTTCTCTTCTTGTCTGCAAGAAAGAGGAGTAATAAAAATCAAAGATGCTTGGAAACAATGAGTCTAATGTGCTAAGGGACCACGTGAACATCAATCTCCATTATACTCAAACAAGAAGACCAACACGGTTGCCCAGTTACCACTACCAACTGCTCTGAAAGGGATCATCACATTAGAAGGTCCTGGATAGAGTCGGGGAAAATGTGGAACAAAACTCAATAAAAAGACAGAAGATCTGGCTTACTAGTCAAATAAGAGACTGGTGAAACCCCAAGACTATGGCCTTTCTGGTTTGAAATGAAACTCACCCTCATGTCTCAATTTTTCAGCCAAGCAATCGATAGGCATATAGGAGGGACACAACATCTGTGAGGTATGCACACTATAGAATGGTCAACCATTCAAGATCAAAATGGCAGCATGCATCTAACCAAGGACAAAATTCAGAAGGGCTTGGAAAGAGGGAGGAACGGAAACAGGGAACAGAGAAAGGAAGTGGGATAAGTGATGTTACACTGAGGAAGTTGCAATCATTGAGATGAAACCCAAGTGCACGATTAGTTGAATGTAAAACTGATGATCTGCTCTGTAAACTTTTACTCATTTCACAACAACAACAAAAAACCACACGAGGCTAACTAGTCTGATGGAGACTGGTGGACTCCCTGGGACTGTGGCCCTTAGGCATCCTTCAAGCCTAAAACTGAATTCACTCCAATAGCTCGACTTTCAGCTAAACAATAAACAGGCCTTTTGTAAGGTGAGCAATAACATAAGAGTGGTACATACTCCTTAGAACAATCAACCACATGAGAATAAAAAAGCAGCATTTGCCCAGGGATCAAGTCCAGAAAGCAGGAAGGGATAGGAAAGAAGGGCAAACGGAAATGGAAAATACATGGAATAAGTGGGAAGAATGTTTCTACATTGTTAGAGTTGCAAGCAATATTATGAAACAAACCATGCATGAATTTGTTGATCAGAAAAGCAATTTTCTCAACCAAATCACAATACAAAGCTTAAAAATAAAGATAATTGTTTACATTTTCAGAAAAAATACCTATTTGAAGAGCTAAAAATAAAAAAATGTAAAATGCTACATACAAGGTGCTTCAAAAATATTGTGGAAAAGTTCTATTATCTTTTAATTCAATTTTTCCATAAACCTTTTGAAGGCCCTTGTAGTATGACAACAACCGATTCAATGTCTACTAAATTGTTTGAAAATCTTATTGTTAAAAATTACAATAAAGGGTCAGAACTACATTCATTAGTCCACAAGATAAAGCATACAAGATTGAAAGCTCCCTACGTACAATCTTTGATTGTTATTGTTAAGTGCTGTCAAGTCAGTTCCTACTCATAGTGACCATGTATAGGGTTTCCAGGGAGCAGTTGGTGGATTTGAACCTTGCGGTTAGCAGTTCAGTGCTTATCCTACAGTGCTACACTCTTGTACACACAAGTATTTGTAAAAAGAGGAGGGAAAAAAAAGGTTTGGGAGCTGCATCTGACTTCACAAGGGGGAGAGGGAATCATCATCAGCAATCCAAGGCTGACTGCTATGAGGTTGAGGTCAGACATGCCTCCAGCCTTCTATCCACAGCACTGTCCACTTCTCTCCTGGGTTTGATAATTCATTGCAATGGCCACACAGAACTAAGAGATAATACTCACGACTATGGGGTTTATTAGGGAAGTTAACAGGTTACAGTTCAGGACCAGAAATGTTCAGGATACAGTTCTTTGTCAAGAGAGCCTCTTCTCTGACATGCTCACAGGCCTTCAGCCTCTGGCTCTTGGACTTCAGCCAAGCCACTTCTTGGCTTCTGCCCTGCTTAGGCAATGCTACAAAGTTCTTTTAGGCTGCTGATAAATGCCCAAAGGGCACTCCACTCTGTTATAAGCCTCAGCTCCAAGGCACTCAGCTCTAGTTCTGTGAGTCAGCAAACCTAGCTCATCCTACCCCCAATGAAGTGCCTGGAGGCACCCCACTCTGCAAGCAAACTTCCGGCCCAAAGACATTCATTCAGCTTTCTTGATCTGGGATCCAGGAAGTCCACTGCTCTGGCTCCTGCTCTGGCTCTTGGCTCTGCTGCTGCTGTTCCTCTTCCACTTTTCTGCTGCCACAGCTTTCCTTCTGTCTCTGGATCAAGGAGACTCAGGGTACAGGGATGTTGAGGGCCAGAGGATGTGCTCCACTCCTGGCTCATTCGTCTTTGTGGTAGTAAGATCCCCCTTCCTGCTTCTGTGATAATTCATCTTAAACCCAGAAGGATGGGAAACTGATCCATCCCCCCTCATTAGATGCCCAAGTTTTTGTAATCACAATGAATCCTGTTAACAAGCACTTACAACTGAATCATATAATCCTGTCAGTATCTTTGCCCACCTTAGCTAGAAAACTATGGTACCCCAATATTGTTACATCCATTTTACTAATTTATTATTCTATCAGTATCTATAGATAGCAGTGTACATGGAAAGTTAATTCAGCCTATGAAAAGTTATGTTTCTGCATTTCGTTTTCTTAGTTCCTAACTGTTATGGCCTGTACATTGAAAACAGCAGAAAAAAAAAATACATACAATGAAACTTACTTAAAAAACCATTGTACAAAATCTAAACATGGATTTTTTATGATAAATTTGATAAACAGGTCAAAGCATCGACATACACCCTACCTGGATCTCAGTTATCTGTGGAATGCAAGACCTAGGTCTCAATGGCAAGAGAGTGGCCATTTGTGGAAAAGGGTCAATATCCTTCCTCGGTTTCTCTTGACGGAGGTGCCAGAATTTCAGTTCTGCACTAGCATATTTTGTTGTGTCTGTATGAGTAACACAGAATCTTGGTGCCCTATTTAGTGAAAAAAAATATAAAATTCAAGATTAAATTAGACAATTAGCCTCTAAAATCAATAGCTGTATTTATATTTGTCTGTCTGTTCCCATTTTCTAGTTATTATAATCTACTTATTTTATGCTGCTTAGAATTAAAAATATTTTTTCTATGACATGTAAACTGCTTGCAGTTTCAGTCACACATATAAAAAGGCAATACATGTAAGAAAAATATCATAGATTAATGTTTAAATTATCTGCTTGATAAAAACAAGACACCTATTAAGGGTATTTTTTCAATGATCCATAATAGTGCTTTTGTTGTCAGGTGCCATCCAGTTGGCTCTGACTCACAGCGGTTTGTACCATGCACAGGGTTTCCTAGGGGTGGCTGGTAGATTTGAACGGCCAAACTTTTGGTTAGTGGCCCAGTGCTTACTCTACAGTACTATACCAGGACACCAATTATCTATGGTGGTGGTGGTTATGTGCCGTGAAGTTGGTTGGTTCCAACTCATAGCAACCCTGTACAGGGTTTCTGAGGCTGTAAATCTTTACAGGAGCAGAATGCCTCATCTTTCTCCAGCGAAACAGCTGGTAGTTTAGAACTGCTGACCTTGCGGTTTGCAGCCTGATTCATAACCACTATACTGCCAGAGCTCTATAGATATTAGTAAAATGGGCATGAAATGTACCTGTGATTAATTTAGATTAATTTAGTATATAGCTATAGTACCAAGATAAAATCTGATCACTTAAGTTTATATCGTCATATATATATATA